TAGCTTGAAGTTTGTTAAATGATCTATTCTTGAGACTAGTGATCCAAGATGTTTGTATAGTATATCCAGAAAACTGTGAATAGATATATGATATAAGTGGGTCATAATATATTCTCCAGAGAAGTGGAGTAATAGTTTCACCTTGATCAATACCATTTTAAACAGAGTATGAAGGAGTTAGTCCAAGGTTAGTTATAACCTGATTGTGACGGTCAGTGAAAATGTTAATTATGGTTTGAATAATAGAAGTTGGTAAGGCGAGTCGAACAAGTGAGTGTCAAAGTAGAGAAAGATTGACAGAATCATAGGCTTTACTCATGTCTTGAGACAAAAGCCATATATCTTTGTGATTACATGTAGCATCCTCAATTAGATTATTAAGGATATGTATAGGAAATTGCTAATTTTAAGTGGGAGTAAAATCACCGATTACACAAACAACAAGTAAATAAATAAAATTGCAAGAACAATTTATATTTATTTTATATATTCATATAACACATGCAAAATCTAAAATCTTATATAACAAACATCGCAATATACTATTAATAAAACTCTCCAGCCTAAAACTAATCACATACCAAACCCACTTTACTATCTAAATCTAACCTTGACTCCAATTCCATGGTACTTTCTAACCCCAACCTTACACTAATCCCATGGTACTTTCTAACCATAACCCTACACTAATCCTATAGCACTTTCTAATCCTAACCCTACACTAATCCTATAGTACTTTCTAGCCCTAACCCTACACTAATCCCATAGCACTTTCTAATCCTAACTCTATATTAATCCCTAACTAACTCTAATTAGAACCCATACTGCTTTACGAAGAAGATATCAACAAGCAACACTGATGTATTAACGACAACACTAGCAAGCCGCAACACTATAAAATAAAATCAGCAGCAAAGCGAAAACAACAATAGATGGCAACATGACGTCAAAGACATACGGCGCTAGAAAATGAAATACCTACAAATGATGACGCTAAAGAATGGTACATCAAAAATTATGCACCAGCGAAAGAAGGACACCAACCAATGACAACACATAAAGGACTACGGCAGTAGTGAACATAAAATATCTACAGACGACAATGCCAAAAAACGACAACACCGGCAATCGACGACGCCAAAGAACGACGACGCCAGCATTCAACGACGTCAAAGAACCAACAATCGAAGACGCTAAAGAACGTCGACACCAACGCCAAAGAACGACGACACCAACAATCACGATGCCCAAGAACGATGACACCAGCAAATGGCGACACCAAGAAACGACGACACCAACATACGACAACTTTAGTAAAGGGAAACGCTGCACTAACTTTATAAAAAAGAAATTAGATTAGTATAACTAAACTAATAAAGAAAAGAAAACTGAAATGTAAGCAGAAAAAAATACTTATATTTATTTGTTGATCTGTGTAAATGGTGATTTCACCCCCCGGTTAACTGTAGTTATTTCCTATATTATAAACAAATTATAAAAATATTATAGATACTGTATATTATCAAATTACAAAAATTTTATTTTGTTTAATCATATACATATATCATTGATTAATCACCGTAAAAATTAAATATATATATATAACACATAACTACATTACAGATTGTAATCCTAAATAAAAAAAAGATCTTAATAAATATACAAAAAACACGTAAAAGTTAATTTTAATTGTGATCTAAGTAGCAGAACTGATTACTTATAACTTTAGTAAAACATTTAACAGATTCAGAGTCATAAAATTCAAAACTTGGCCAAATGATTTGCAAATTTAACCAGAGTTATAAGTAATTGATTTTGCTATTTAGACTACGATCAAAACTAGCCTTTTATTTGCCAACAATAAAAACCTGAATCTATAAAAAAAGGTAAAATACTAAATACAAATAATCATAATATATACAAATATATACACGAATATTAATGTAGGAATTCAAAATACTTACTAACAAATAAAATCAACAATTGATGCTAGAGATTTAGTTGATTTATAATATCTAATCTGGTTATAAGGTAAAACTAGAGAAGTATTAACAGTTCTTTGCCAACTATCTAAAAAATAAAAACTTTGTAAGAACATTATTTAAAAAGCAAAAGAAAAACAACTAAAACATACATATTTGAAAAATCAGGCTTATATCAATATCTTGGAAAATGTTTATCAATTTAATGAATTATGTGCCTTATAAGCCCGTTTGTGTAAATTTGATTTTGAAAACAAACAATTTCAGTTTTCTTTTGGCATCACTCATATACTGTGATTTGTAATAATCAAAGATGTTAAAAACTAAAATCTAGAAGATTTTTTTTTTAAAAAAAAAAGCCAAAAATCAATCTAAAATTTTTAAGATTAAAACCACT